CGCCTCTCGGATTTGCAGTATAACTTGCAAGTTAACTTAAGAATACATTCTAGTTAATTTTAGGATACCTTGTACTTTGTAGTACTCTTCAAGTTAACTTCAGGATACCTTGTAGTACTCTTCAAGGTAACTCCAGGATACCTTGTAGTACTCTTCAAGTTAACTTCAGGAAACCTTGCAGTACTCTTCAAGTTAACTTCAGGATACCTTGCAGTACTCTTCGAGTTATCTACAGGATACCTTGCAGTACTCTTCAAGTTAACTTCAGGATATCTTGTAGTACTCTTCAAGTTAACTTCAGGATACCTTGTAGTACTATTCAAGTTAACTTCAGAATGTCTTGTAGTATTCTTCAAGGTAACTCCAGGATACCTTGCAGTACTCTTCATGTTAACTTCAGGATACCTTGCAGTACTCTTCAAGTTAACTTCAGGATATCTTGTAGTACTCTTCACGTTAACTTCAGGAAACCTTGTAGTACTCTTCAAGTTAACTTCACGATATCTTGTAGTACACTTCAAGTTAACTTCAGGATTGCTTGCAGTACTCTTCGAGTTATCTACAGGATACCTTGCAGAACTCTTCAAGTTAATTTCAAGATACCTTGCACTTTGCAGTTATACTCTTCAAGTTAACTTCAGGATACATTGCATTGTAGTGCTTTTTAAGTTAACTTCAGGATACCTTGTATCACTTTTTAAGTTAACTCCAGGATACCTAATTGTAGTACTCTTCAAGTTAATTTCAAGATACCTTGCAGCTTGCAGTTATACTCTTCAAGTTAACTTCAGGATACATTGCATTGTAGTGCTTTTTAAGTTAACTTCAGGATACCTTGTATCACTTTTTAAGTTAACTCCAGGATACCTAAATGTAGTACTCTTCAAGTTAATTTCAAGATACCTTGCAGCTTGCAGTTATACTCTTCGAGTTAACTTCAGGATACCTTGCAGTACTCTTCGAGTTATCTACAGGATACTTTGCAGTACTCTCCAAGTTAACTTCAGGATACCTTGTAGTACTTTTCAAGGTAACTCCAGGATACCCTTGCAGTACTCTTCGAGTTATCTACAGGATACTTTGCAGTACTCTCCAAGTTAACTTCAGGATACCTTGTAGTACTCTTCGAGTTAACTTCAGGATACCTTGCAGTACTCTTCGAGTTATCTACAGGATACTTTGCAGTACTCTCCAAGTTAACTTCAGGATACCTTGTAGTACTCTTCAAGTTAACTTCAGGATACCTTGTAGTACTCTTCAAGTTAACTTAAAAATACATTCTAGTTAATTTTAAGCAGAATGTTTAAGATAGATCTTAGAATGAAACAAAAAAGCCATTTTCAGACAAAACTTAGTAGCTATACTATTCTAAGCAATGTTATTCTGACATTTGGAAATATTTCCTTCCGTTTGAACATAGACTATATTGCTTAGGATAAAATGATATTCTTAATAATCACTGCAATTCTGTAAAAGCCATACACAATTCTTCTGTTCAGTAAAGCAATTCTTCGAAAATATAACAAAAGGATACGGCACCGGGAATTCCCAGGCGGTCACCCATCCAAGTACTAACCCGGCCTGCAGTTGCTTAACTTCCCAGATCGAACGAGATGGGGTGTATTCAACCGAGTATGGCCGTATCCAGTGATGTTGAATTTTGCTCCTCTATATATCTTCTCACACAAATTCTTACACTCACACCGACCCTGTATGTGGTTCATCGATTAGTTATTATAAGAACAAGTTGTTAGAATACATTAAATTCCTTTGACAGATAACAATACAATATTTTCCTTATCTTCTAATTAAACTTCGTGATAAGTAAACTGTTAACTTCATGCCAACTCTATATTATACTTCACACTGCACACGGTACACACTACATAGTTAATGGTTGCCTTGTTGTGGAATGTTATTAAAGTATTAATCACCATCAAAAATGTGACTGCTCTGATGAAATTACTCCAATAACCGAAATCACTTATATTCACTGATATTTTTGTGTGCCTGTTCATAGTAGCTAGATCAGCTAGGTGCGCTGATCTGGGCGCGCTCAAAAAAGCAAATTGGGGACACGTTTTTGTTGTTTTTTGATAGTCGCGAGTAAAATTTACTTTTAAAAACTTTTGACGAGGTGTTAGAAGCCATCTTAAGGTCTAAAGAGATGAAATCTTGACTAGCACCTACCTGAAAGGCTTTTATCCAACGGGTTTTTCTCAGATTTTTGATATCTCACTTCCTTTTTCCACAGGTGACCGAAACGTACACGTCATTCTGGACTGCATGCGACTACTCTCGTTACTGAAAGAGGTGCTGTGCGACACACGATTATCCTAGGATGATGAGAGTTAGTTTCTGGGAAAGCCCTAACGATGCTTAAAACGATAGGGGCTGAAAATATTATCAATTATTGAAAACGTGTCCCCAGGACTTCGTTGAAGTCGCGAGATTCGATACCCGTAAAATAATGTTGCAAACTACTAGCAAAAACGTGTCCCAACGCGCCAGGGTTGAATATGATGACACTTGTGCACGGACTAGACCATTTGCTACCCTGCTAGATGAATCTAGATCAATATTCATCAATGGTAAGGTTATCACTAAAGTCAAGGATACAAAATTCTTAGGTGTTGTTATAGATAGTAAGCTAAACTGGTCTGCCCACATGCACTACATCCGTAAAAAACTGAGGTCCATGACTGGTGCAATCTGTAGAATTCGGCACTCGATACCTGCTGAACTATATTTAAAAATATATAATGCTCTATTTGAATCACATCTAAGTTATGGTATAAGTGTTTGGGGAGTTGTCCTCAAAGAACGGTCAAATGATAGTCTTTTTATCACACAGAAGCACTGTATAAGAATCCTTTTTGGTGATCTCGACTCATATCTAGATAAACAATCAACATGTGCAAGAACTAGACCATATGGCATGCAAATACTAGGCCATAAACATTTTGAAAAGGAGCATACGAAACCCATTTTTAATAGGTTAAAAATTCTTACGGCTCAAAACTTGTACAAATATCACTGTATTTTAGAATTCTCTAAGATTATCAAGTACCACTGCCCATACTCCCTTTATGAGGCTATCAACATTTCAAACCGTGCAACGAGTCTAACAGTTATTCTTCTAAATAAATCAAATACCTTTTTGTTTAATGCAGCCAAGCTTTGGAACACTGTTCATAAAAAAAAAATTTTAACTTCAAGCAATTGTCTAGAAACTTCCATTAACTTGATAAAATTGAGAACGAAAGCACTATTAATACAATCACAGGCTGCTGACTTAAAAGAGACTTGGACTCCAAACAATTTTAAGTTACAGTAATTTAATCTAATTGCAGCGGCACATAACATAATTTAAACTATTGCTATCATTATTGTACTACAGACTGAAAATATCTCAGATCTATTTTGGGCGTTTTTAACAACTTGTAGTTGTAATTCTTAAATATTAGATATCCTAATTTATAACTTTTTAATCAGAGTGAATTAATAATTGATATTTGATAATTTATTTATTTGATAGTTTAGTCTGATATTGATATTAATATTGATTACATTGATATTGTTATTATTGAATGAAGCTAACTCCAGACATAAATAATACTACTTCTATTAACAAAGGGACTTGGAGTATAAACGACCAATTTTGCATAATTGTCTTTCCAACCAAGAATTCAGGAGGCAAGGGTGGGTGCGTAAACTTTATGGTCTGCACTCTCAGATCCTGTATCACCCTGGATTCATTTCGACGTATTTTTGGTAAAAGTATACATATACTTTCTGGTCACTCTCTTGCTACTCCAAGTCCCCTAAGATATATGGTCTAAAGTTTGCACTAGTTATATTTATAAAATATGTTTTTGTCTGCTTTAACTAATACTAAATAAAATTGTTGTTTTCTTGAAATTGTTGTTTTCTTGACAGACCAACATAGACATGATTGATAGCTATATAGAAATAATTATAATAAGAATCTATAGACTGACACACTGACAGACCAACATAGACATGATATCCCCATATAGCCTCAGGGCTATATGGGGATATGTCGTCCTTGGGCTGTGCACCCTCGAGGACATATATTATATCGCTGCGCGGGCGCGGGCGATATAAATTTCCGCCCGCTAGGCTGCGTGGATAGTAGTCACCATTCTAAACAAGTTTTCCCTATAACTAAGTTTATATCTTGTCAGAGTTATAACCTCATTTATTTAATGGAGTGTAAGACTTGTAAACAGTCGTATGTCGGTTATACTACCTCAAATCTCCCTAAGAGATTCTCTAACCATAAGAGTCACATAAAGAAAGGTATAAGAAGTTGTAAATTAGTTAACCATTTTTTAGATATTGATCATGATTTAGATTTTAGTACCATAGCCTCCTATAATTCCTCACTTAGTAAGCACCTTTCTGTCATTATAGTAGACGCTTTAGTATTTGAGCCTAATATTAGTAAAGCAGACAAAGAAAAGGCTATGGAAGCTAGAGAGGGGTTCTACCAGACCCAATTGAAAACCCTTGAACGGTTTGGGGGTATGAACACCCTTGATAGTAACCATCTACTTTTTAAATCTGCCGGAGCTTAGTTTTAGTTTTAGTATATTTTGTAGATTTTATTTAGTTATACCATTATTCCAGAGACGTGCATATTACATTTTTTACTTAAGTATAAATTTTACAGGTTTTTGTTGTGATTTTAAGTGATTTTCCGAGAATCAGTTATCAGTATTTAGATAAGAGATAAGATAAGAGTACATTTTTAACGGCTTTCAGTTTCTTTTTTAAATTTTAGTTCATCAGATTTTCCCACTGCTTTTAGTTTGTATTTATTCTCAATTGTATATGATTCGTATTTGTTGTAGTTACTTTAATGATATAATTTCTCAGAATTGATGTAAATAAACGATGCAAAGACTTTCGAAGATCTAATCACAACCGCTTTCTTTTATTGTGTAGAAGTCCAGCCATGAAATATATATATATATAGTTTTAATACTTTCAACACTACTTTATAACAAATAATTTGAGGATGACTGTAAAGGTACATTTTACCGACATTTGAAGTCAAGGCATTGTTTTACTGATAGTTGTGGCTGACTAATAATATATATATATATATATATACCAACATTAACATAAAGCATCTGAAGCATCTTTAGCTGATAATGACCACGCTTGTGTTCCTTGTAACCTCATTCATTATGCTGGCCCAAGGTACTGACAAATTGAATTTTGTTCATCGTCAATATATCATCATCAAGGAGTGCAAAACGCTTCTGAATCATATTTTCACTGAAATTTTAAATGATTCAGTCAAACAATAAATGTGTTCACTAATGTTTTGTACTTTCAGCGTGCCCCACTATCACTAACTTTGAAAATGGAACAGTTATGATAACTGAAACCAGCGCTACATTCTCCTGTGATAATTATTACTACTTAGAACCTGCAGGTCAGTAGACACAGTAAAACTTCAAACTCAATATCAGATAAACTCGTGGAATGGGATTTTGATCCAATCTTCCATTCAGTATTTTTTTTGTACAAAGTGTTGGAAGGGAAGATTCTAGACCAGGCTAGATGTAAACAGTAAATTTGTAGAATCTTCAAGGCTAGACCTTGGTATCCTATCCCAACACTAGGGATCTTCTAAAACGAGATAATGCTAGTGAGTATAATTGGAAATTAAGCTGAGTGCCATCTATAATAGTTGCAAGGTACAGGATGTCCCATACAAATTTACCAAGTGACTTTGGTTAATATAATAATTATAATATTTAGTGCTAAAAATGATTGATTGGTGATAAATAATAAAACTGTATTTTCTCAAAAAATTTCCTTTTCTCAGATTTAACTTTACATTTTCTTCTCATATCTATCTCATATCTAACTAACATATCTAACTACTACATATCATGTCATATGGTATGATGCTCTAGAATCTGGGTTTAAAATCCACCAGGAACTCGCTTATTTGGCCCATTAATTCTATATATCTTATTTTATCACTCATTAATTTATTACTTTATTATGTTTTACATGTTATATCCTTATGTCCCTAGAAGGCGAAGGGTGTTCTGCTAACAGTTTGAGAGTGACAACTCGTGAGATCGTTAATAGTTATTACTACTCGGCAGCAGGGTGTCTTGATAAGAATGAGCGCTGAAGCACTGTGGGGGGGGTGGGAAAAAAAACACTAAAGAAGCCTACGACAGGATAAAGCACATAGCTTCAGACTGGTGTGACAAGGTACACAACTGCTGGCACTGCCATATGTGTTAATTTAGGTTGACCCATAACTATGGCTTTTTGTTTGTATAAGTATGTCATATGTTCAATTGCGTTATTTTTGAAATATAAATGTCAATAATGCAGGGAGTATATTTTGACTGTATGGGATAATTCAGATCTAAAGACGAGGTAAGTTTACTGAGATCGTTCAGACCATTTTTTAATTCATTTGGGGTGAGGTGTATGATAACGAATGTAAAGAAATGTTGTCAACTTCATAACATTCTGTTAATACACTCTCTTAGAGATGGCACATAGGAGACTGGCAATTCCCTTTTTGAATTAACGTATTTTTTATTCTCATATTATGAGAATAAATATGATGTCTAGCTTTTGTGCCAATTTCAAAATCCACGCTCATTAAAGTTTTGTAGTATTTAAAACTGATGTACATTCAAAGGATTTGTGCATATTGTCATTGACTTAAATAATGTACCTATAATATATTTTAAGACCAATATTTATTAATCGAGAAAATTCCTAAATATATAATTGTGATTATTTGCTCAGGACTAGATCTATCCCCATGATTCAAATAATATCAAAGTATCCATCCACTATAGGGTATCTTACGAAGTTGTACATGCTGCGTATTGCTATGGAATTGAACTTTGCAAAGTTCAAAGGATGAACCCTATTTTTACTGTTAAGCCTGGGCGTGTTCATAATTTACTACATTTAACATATGGTTATATTTAGGTCAGAAATCTTCTGAATCACTAATTATTCTAACTAACAGAGGAAATTACATAAAGTTTTGTCTTTAACATTTTTATAACACAAAAATATGTTGCTATATTTGAAAATATGTACTTACTACTTCTGTGGACATTGTTTTCATTTCTGTTTTGGTTTCTGGATTTTGATAACAAAGCCATTTTTATTTAGATTATTCTGAAATGAAGAAGCTAATATATTTAGTCTGTAACCTGTTAAGTCTGGCTAAAGCATGAAGGTATGTCCATTAAGTCATACGTATGTGATGGCTAGAAGATAATGCTTCTTACCATATCTAAACTCCAACTTTTCTGGCTATTGAAAATGCTATATGTGATACAATTAAGAAATGTTAATGCAGATACAAATAGTGAGCATCTTTCATAGACGAGTCGGTACTTATTCCTTAATTTAATATTAGAAAGATTCCATTAGAGTTGGTTTGTATTTTACCTCCTCCCGGGTTCTGCGTCAAGTCTGATCTTGTATCTATTTATTTACAAGCTAGTCTTAGCATATTGTATTGCAACTGTGGCCACAGTGTGATGTATGTACCTGATTCATTAAAAAGGCTATACGGTGTACAGAAACATAAATGTGATGCTTAATTTACAAGTTTAAGTGCGAAACGCGTGAGAGGAAATCGCACGATCAGTAAATTGTTATCTTTAAATTATTATTAACTTAATTGTGCATATTGTTTAAACAATGTGTTTGATGGAATACTTAACTGAAATAAATTAACATTAATTACTTTACGAGCACGAATTGAACGATTTCCACCAGATGCTATTAATTTAATATAGCTCTATAGCTCATTTTTGGGCGGGAGATTATAAGTTAAGAAGTTTTTAGACGTACATTTAATTATGCAGGCGATTTGTTTATTCAGTAGAAAGGTAAGTTTATCAGCAAAAAGTCTTATTTCTAATTAGATTTTTAGAGTAATGTACAATTAACAAAGTTGCGTCGAAAAACGGAAGGAGCTTCTGTTCGAACCTTGCTACCAGTACTTGACATATCTTACGGGAACGAACAGGCACAACCCTGAGGGATCGTCATTCCCGGTTATTTATTCTGAATTATATCTGATTTTGGAAACATTTTAAGATCCTTGATTTTTTTTAACCGTTTAGTGTGTGTACATGCAATTGTACTATACTCTAAAAATTAATTAGAAATAAGGACAGTTCTCTGTATAATACCTTTCGTACGTGAAGTAACAATCGCTGGCATAATTATGTATCTGTTAAAAACTTCTTACTTCATCTCCCGCCCAAAAATGAAGAGAGCTGATATTATGTAATAGCTTATGGTGGGAATGTTCAATTCGGTGAGTCTGTAAAGTACTTTAGATGTTAATTATTTCAGTTAAGAATCCATCAAACACATTGTTGACTAACGTATGACATTAAGTTAATAATAATTTAAAGTAAACAATTTACGATGTGCGATTCCTCTGCGGCGTGTCGCACTTAAACTTTAAATTAGCATCACATGTTAAGATTCTATACACCGTAGTATCGTTTTAATGTACTACAGGTACATACATCAACACTGTGCAGTTGCATACAATATTGCTAAGACTTAGTTTAATTAATAATACAAGATCAGACTTGACGCAGGCGCGGGGAGAGGTAAAAATACACACCAACTTCATAAGTGAATCTTTTCTAATATTTATATGATGAGGATGGTTCCGACTCGTGTATGAATGGAGTGCTTCAATTTTGTATATGGCATTAAATTTTTGATTGTATCAATATAGACATTTCTAAAATCGCTGAAAAGTGGGAGTAGATATTGGTAAGAATGCATACAGAATAATTAGCCATCCACATACGGTTATGCGTATTGTGACATATTATCATGCTATAGCCAGAGCCTTGAACAGGTACAGACTATAATATGAGCTTCTTTCATTTAGGAATATTTAAATAAAATGGCTTTGTTATCAAATCCAGAAACAAAACTGGACAAATGAAAATTTTTGTCGACAGGGTATTGTTGTATGTAACCTAGTTTTAAAAATAGCAAACTATTTTGTGTTTAGTAAAAAGTTAAGCAAAGTTTTATGTCGATCCTCTGTTTGTTAGAAAATTAGTGGTGTGAGCAGATTTTCTGAATGAAATATTAACAGTAAATTTTTAATGTAGTAAATATGAACACGCCAGTCTTGAGAATCTAAAAAATGTGTACATTCCTTTGAACTGCAAAGTTTCATTCATAGCAGAGATCAGCATGTAAACTTTCGTATAGATACCTATAGTGTCAGGATACGTGTGGATTATTATTTGAATCTGGATAATTAGATTCAATCTGATTCACATATCAACAATTTATATATTTAGGATTTTCTCGATTAAATAAATATTGTCTTAAAAAATATATTATAGGTTATTCTTTATGTCAATTGACAATATGGCACAATTCTTAGAAATGTAAATCAGTTTTAATATACAAACTTTAAATTGAGTGTGAAGTTGAAATGGAAAAATAGCTAGCATATTATTATTCTGCATAATTTGGAGGAATAAAAAAAAATACCGATAATTTCAAAAAAGGGATATAGCCAGTCATGATGATTCTGATCTTTTTTAAGGAGTGTATTCGACAGATGTATGAAGTGGAACCATTTCTTTACAGTTGCGTTCGTCCTACCTCACCCCAATGAAACTGAGTGATCCAGTAAACTATCGTACGTTTAGGATCTGAATTATACGTCAGTAAAACTTTAACCCCTGCATTATTTGACATGTTAGTATTTCAAAATAACGCAATTGTAACTATGGACAGAATTATAAACAAAAAAGGCATTAGTTATGGGACAACTAAATAAAAATATTAGAGTGCAGCAGTTGTGTACCTGGTCAGCAGCAGGTTCTGAAGCTAAGTGTTTATCCTGTTCGTTAGTCTTCTTTAGTGTAAGTGCTTCAGGCCGCTATCTATAAAGACCACGCCTGCTGCCTGAGTAGTGATCAATAGTAACGTGACTGACAAGAGATCTGTCACTTCTCGAAACCATTT